GAAAAACCCCCCCCCCCCCCCCCCCCCCCCTCAAACGTAGAGAGTCGTTGCTCCCGGATGATGTGGGGACTCATTGTGAAGCGATGATGATCACGGATGATCCTGTTTTCCTTTGCCAGGTAATTGGAGAGCCCTTCAGCCGAGGCGTGCTCGTTAACGAGCTGTTGCAGCTCGAGGTTTTGGTTCGCATGAGACAGCAGATACAATTCGGCGAGGCTGCTTTCCAGGCTCTGGAATGCTGTCGGGATTTGGTCCAAATAACGGATCCTTCATTCAAGATTCAGGTGCGATAAGTTTATCATAATATCTTAGTAGATGCGAGCATGCAACGGTACGACCGTCGTCTTTCCTACGTGGGCTAGAAATGCCCCGTTTCTCGCGAATTTTAGGACTTATGTCTTTTGTAATTAAAAGCAATTTTTCCTTGCCGGTGCCCATTTCTTGCGTAAACGACGAATTTAATTATTTAAATTATAAGTAAATCAGGAGTAAAGCTCACGAAAAAGGTTCATTTCAGCGCTTGGTTTATTTTGGTTTTGGCGAAATCTAGATATGCTGATGGAATCAGGTTCTCTCTATTCCACGGAGAGGTTTAGATATCTTTCTCCTCGTGAAGTAATCGGTTACCATAATTTGAAGTGTTTCGTTTGGTACAGCGGTTAATTTTTTCGTGTCGTTATGTAATCAATATTCATTGATACTTTACAGTAGTTTCTTCTGTTCATATCACAGAGATGCATCTTTTTCTTATAGGACAGATTTACAAGTATCATCCTTTTTTCATAAAATAAATTCGATTTTGGTTAAGATGAATGTGATGATTCCGAGGTTGTGAAATTCATATTATGTTTGATCGTATTTCGAAAACAGTATGCCAACAAGGCTTGTGAGAAAGTGTTGGGTTATGCACGGGAGGACGTCGTGGACGCGTCGATCCACGATGTGACGAAAGACGATGTCGTTTCGTCGAGCTCATCATCCGAACGAATCGGATCGTCGGCGCCACTTCCGGAAGAAGGAGTTTCTCCCCCACCTGCTTCCGGTGGTGGACTGAGCGTGTCGCTGAGCTGCTTGAAGCAGGGCAAAGACTGGGAAGGATCTCTGACCTGCCGGCGGAAGTCCGGCGACTACATACCACTGCAGACGCGAGTCTCGCCAATTGCCCCGCAAAACGGGTAACTTTTCCCTGCCTGGCTCACCTGTTGAATCCAAAACACTTCCGACTTTGTTTTTACCTACTACAACCGCGAACCTGTTAATTTAACGGATGGTTTCAAGTAATAAAAAGCCAAAGCAGCTCTTGGATTTTGAATCATTTTTCGAAATTTTGAGCTTTTGATCACATCTATCTACAGTTTCTACACCACATTTATAAAAACTGTTAAATGGCTTAAATTTCCCGGATTTTCTTCGATTGAAATCATGAATCTTGGTCTTTCTGCGTTTTATTACTTGAAATTGTCTGATTTCGAAAAATAGTCTCCTGAAAATGCGTCCAGGACGATGTCAATTTCATCGATCAATTCAGTTGTGTTTTTGTAGATTTCAGATATTTTCAAAATAATTTACTTCTCCGAACCCTCCTCTCATTCGAGTCATTCTTTCGATATGTGTATTGCTAAGTTCTAAGTAATGTAAATTAGGTTGTTGAATAGTTTTTCTTCGAAAGACGCTGACAATTGTGAAAGAAAAAAAAAAAAACTTACAGAAAAGCATCGTAAAGCAACTTTTAAATTAATTTCCCCTCTGCGTTCTTTTTTTCTTAGACTTTTGATTGGAGTATCATGACTCTCTCGATCTATGAATGGGGATCATTTTGAAAATAAATTTAAATTCATAAGGGCTGAATTCGTAGCGATGAAAACTGTTCAAAATCACTGTGTGTAATACTAAAGATTCGTTTGTTTTTAACATTTATGTTGTCGAATGTTCACACCTCTTGGAAACCTTCAGCGCGTTTTTCCATTCGAGGAAATGTACAGTATGTGCAAAACTGGGAGTTTGAGAAGTTAGCTGGTACCTCCTTTGTAATCTGGATGAATGATCTGCTTTTAGGCACGCGGATCACTACGTGTTCGTGGAGGAGTGTCCCGTATTATTCCTGGACAAAGGTCTGTTGAACGAAATTTATGACTCGGCGTATCCACGGCCTCCGATGTCCCGAGGGAGCTTATTCTCTGCACGGAAGTTCTCCACCGACGTCCGGTCTTTAACCAGTGAGGGTAATCCAAGCAGATCATATTCTAAGCACGAAATTCATACCATTGCACGAAAAAAATCTCTCCCGACAAGACAAATCAAGTCTTTAACCCTTCATCGATTTCTCTTATATTTTTTCTACAAGTGGGAAGGCGTCAGTCGATAGCGAAACAGCACACCACCACGGTGGAAGCTCCCATCTTCCGCGCCGTTAACCTAATTCATGCTGCCAAAGAAAACTCCCCCGGGCACGTGACCCAAGCATTGGACAAGGTAAGTAAACAAAGAGTTTTTCCTCCTTTTAGGTGGCCGCATGCATTTCCATAAACGACGTGCACCATCGTTTGTCATGTTTTTTTCCTTTTGTCGCAGGTGCTTGAAATTTTGCGATCCGCGGAGCTTTACTCTCCGGTGTTCAGCGGGCAGCAGTCCAGAAATGAAGACCCTCTTGCGAATGACCTCCTTGGTGGTTTGTTGGCGGTGAGTTTCACAAAGCGCACTTCACAGACTGATGCTTTCTCCGCTTGTGAAACTTGAAATTGCCAGAACTGAAATCAACTCTAGTACAATGGAATACAGTATTAAGATACAGCGGATGTTTCGAGTTCTGCGTCACCCAAAGCTTAATTTTTCTACAAGATGGGCGCTCATTCCAGACCATTCCAAAGGAATATCTGGATCACGCTTTCGTTTCGAATTTCTTTTTCGTTCACCAATTTATTTTAGAGCCAATTTATTTTTGAAATACTTGCCATTGGAGAACCCCTTCCCTCCGGGCGACATTCAAGAGTTGAAGATCTCGGATGAATTTCTGCAAGGTCTCATTGCAAACTAGTCTCCGAAATAATTTACCTGAACTTTCTCGAGCAATTCTATTGATTATGCAATAGTTTGCTAGCAATTTAAAATTTGAAGAAAAATGCTTGCTAGATTTTTTGTTTTTATAAGGCTGTATCGAGAAAGCTGAAAGATGCGTTTCAATGCATGAATAAGTCTCGGAAGATAGAAGGATCAAGTTGATGGCGGAGGGAGGTTGATGGTATATTTTATAGGAAACTGCTTATGGAATCAAAATGCGGAGTTCGGATAAAATTCACTGTCTCATGCTTACGAAATTTTCGCTTTCTGGGGTTTTGGTGTTAGAATCCATCGTGAAAAATGTTGCTGCCTTGTTTTTATGCAGTTGGACAAGAAGAGTGCGTCGGGAAGTTTGCCGGGTCGGCGTGCGTCGCAAGACTCATTCAAGCTCCATTTGGCGCTGAGCAACGCCAACAGCGTGGGACCTGCAACGCCGATGAGCCCGCCGCACGGGATCAAGAATCCCTTCCCATACAGTTCTCCATTATCACAGGCCTCTGTGGAAGTCCGGGGTTTACTTGAAAAAGAGAAGACTTGGGCGTTCGACGTCATAAAGCTGGAGGAAGCAACAAAGAAAAGGTGGGAATTCTTCGCGTTTTCAGTTGAGCGAAAAGTATACAGCATTGTGATTTTCTCTAAACTATGGCTTTCTAAATGAACTGACCTTATTGCTTGTAAATTACGTCTATTTGACAAGAGTTCTGATTTGATGAATGTTCAGGACCCATTGAATAGCCTGATTTACGTTTGATCGTTTTATTTAGCAAATCGAGCATCACGCGGTATCCATTCGAGGAAATAATCTTGGAAATTTTCCTTTTTTTAGGCCTCTATTTTATGCAGGCATGGCAACATTCATGAGATTTCAGGTTCATGCAGTGCTCAACGTGGATCTGAAAACGCTTCACAACTGGCTGCAGATGATCGAAGCTCATTACCATGCCTCAAACCCGTATCATAATGCCACGCATGCCGCAGATGTCATGCAGGTAAGTTGTGCATTCAGTAGCTGAAAACACGATCATCTGTATCGATCTTTTTGCCAGGCGATCGGATATTTCTTGGAGTTTCCCGTGATAAAAGAAGCGATGGAGCCGTTGGATAACGCAGCGTGCTTGATCGCTGCTGTGATACATGATTTGGATCACCCGGGCAAGAACTCTGCTTTCCTTGTCAACACACGACACGACCTGGCTGTTCTTTACAACGACACCAGTGTTCTAGAGTCCCATCACGTCGCTCATGCTTTTAAGCTCACACTTTCTGATCCAAGATTCAATATTTTTAAGGGTAAGATCCGGTAATACGTAGAATAATTCCCTTTAAAAAATGTCTCTCGTCGAATAATGCAGGGCTGGATCGGGAGACTTTTCAGACAATCCGGAGAAGCATAATCGATATGGTGCTGGCCACTGAGATGACTAAGCATTTCGAACACTTGTCAAAATTCAAAAATGCATTTGATTCTACCTCGGGCGTCTCCGGTGATGATGCCGATTCCGTTTCTAATGAGGTGAGTCCAGAAGTTCCGATCATCAGCCCTTGATCGTCGTTGCAAATGCCATGCACGATAAAAATCTTGCGTTTCTGTCATTCTTTCATGACTATTAACGACATTGTCAGGCATGAAAACTTCGTCTGATTTACTGTGTTCATTTCATGCTTGAATTCTGCAGCCACAGGGATCTGACTCTGATGCTCAAGGCGAGAATGAGCAGGCTGTGGCTTGGGCCACGACTGAAAACATAGTACTAGTGAAGCGTATGATGATCAAGTGTGCGGATGTTTCAAATCCTGTGCGACCACTGCATTTGTGCCAAGAATGGGGCTATCGTATTGCGGAGGAATACTTTCAGCAGGTTTGTTATTTGTGCTGCTGTCTCTGTCCTCAAGGTTTTTCTCACGAAACTTACGAATTGACAGACGGAGGAAGAAACCGATCGAGGCCTGCCGATCGTGATGCCATTATTCGACCGAAGAACGTGTTCCATTCCGAAAGCTCAAATTGGATTTATAGATTTTTTCATCACCGATATGTTCATGGCTTTTGATGGTTAGTCCGAGCAAATCTTTATTCCGTTTCCATTGATAATCGTTACATGTTCCTTGTTCAGCGTTTGCGGACACACCGGAACTTCTGGAAAGACTGAAGCACAACTATGAGTTCTGGAAACTAGAAAATCAACGCTTGATGGAAGCAGAAGCAGAGCAAAGTTCTCCTCTCTGAAAGCGTTGAAATTCGAAGCATGCATGTCAAGTGAAAGATGCTCACGAAGTTCCTGGCAGGAGTGGGATTTTCTATTCAAGCGCAAGCCGTTCTTCGGTATTCCAGTGCTTTTTGTGGTGTCGAAGCTCCAGTGAAGGAAAAGAATCAGGGAGGAAAAACTGAGCTAGAAAAAAGCTCGTTACAAATTTGCGGTGGAATAGGCGAGCGATTGTGTCGACTGAGCTATGTGCAGGATTGGTTCCCTTGTTTTGCGAGCTTAAAATTAATTTAATGCGACTCTGTCGTCCCTCACGAAATACTCGGTCGCCTATGCGGTATGAACTTCCGATAAATTTTGACCAGAGCTCGTTCCAGACATGGGTTCGTGTTGCTCATTGTCTGACTGTGTCTACATGGAGGGTGAGGCCGACCATTGGCTCGTGAACTGTCGCTCAGAATTGTGCGTGTTGGGAACGACTATTCTAGTCTAATGGTTTTTTACGCGCTTGAGGTCTTCTCTGTTAATCCGTTTAGGACTTCATGGGAACAGTTATTCTCGACATTTGTCAACCGGTGACTGTCTTGGGGCAGTATCGTTCCTCTGGAACTCAAGTTTTGTTCAGAGGAAACTGAGGAATGCTTCAAAGCTAGTCATGTCGTGTTAAAAGAAACAGGGGATATTTTTTCTCTGAGTAACTAATTCCTGAAGAAAAAAAATTGAAGCAATCAAAACGGAGTATTATATGGACGGGGACGTTCGGATTGTAGGAAACTTCGATAAGATTTTTCTGTGAAATTAATTATCGCATGTTCCCTGGTTTCAGGCTTCGATTACGATTGTTATGGTATTCTCGTATCTTTACATCATCTGAGAAAAGTTTCGATTAAATCTGTGTTCTGATTTATGAACAAAAGGGCGCGAAGGTTTCCATAATACTGTACTGTATTGAATAATTATATTGTTGAAAAACTCGAATGGAAAGTAAAAACACGGGTCACATTAAGTTTTGATTATATGCGTTGACGTAATTAGTACTTCCTCACGAGGTATCAAGTGGATGCGAGATGTTATATGTTCTGCTTCTTCGTGATATTGAGTTGAACATTTTTTCTCCGGGTTCCGGCTTGTGACTGACGTGGCGAGAGTCCCCCACGATGACAATATCAATGAGAGATCGACTTTGTGATAGATAGAGCATAATAGCATTAGGCCCCCCATTATGTTCTTTCGGGTTTGTTTTTTCTTATCCTCGCTCTCGCCTTCTCGGTTTATATTTCTGCTCAAGTTCAACTTTGCGTGAATCGGCTCAAGAAATTCGGTGAATTATTAGTGAGCTTCTGGGAAATCCTCGATTAACCGCGTAAGGTTGAAAGGTTAGTCAATATTCCACGGGCTGGTCACCTCTTGAGTAATGGAATAGGTAACCTGGGTGCTCATAGGAGTCGGGCTGAATGCGTTGGAGAATGGCTTCGCTGTGTTCCACTCAGATAAATGTTCGTCATAGGGCCAATTCCATGGATTCAGTCCCTAGATCAGGTTTGTTATGGGCACTTTCCTCCGAAGACCTTCCTTCCTTTTCCCCATTTTATGTGTTATTTCTGGGTTGAGAATTGTGAAAGGTGTTGACCAAGGGGGAGCTGGCTCCTGGTATCCCATTTGGATCGGTGGTCTGTGTTTTGTCGACATTACTGCCGTTGTCTGTTTCAGTACAAAATATGATGCCGATGGGATGCAGAACCATCTAATTAACTGAGATGGCTGAATTCGTGAAGGGAAAACCTCTTCAGCCCATGATGGCGACCTTCTGTTTGGGAATGATGTGTGTGCATGAGTGGTGAAAATGGGATGACTGAGGATGTTGCTGATGCTGAAACACGAAATAAAATTATGGGAAGTCCTGTGTTCTAATTTCTGATTTTAAATTCCTTTTTGCCTGTTATAGATGCAAGCTTGATTTTTTCACCATCGTCTGCAACGATATATGTACCGACGTTTCTGAGTAGAGATTCTCCAAACAGGGAGTATAGAAACAAAACTGATTTGTCCTCGAATTTTACTCTGTGCGTTGCTGTCCGACTTCAGCAAGTTCTTGCGCTTGAAGTACAGTACAGTACTGTATTCGACTTCAGAGATACCCATGCATTAGGTGTCACTGCAGAATAAATCGGCTTGATCATGTACCTTGGTGATAAAGCAGTTCTGATTAGAAATTATTTTTTTTCCCAATGCGGTACATTGTAGTTGAATTTGGCAGTGCACAGTATTCGGACTGCCTGAAATTGAATTGTACAAGCTTTTATGTGCAGTATTTTGTTGAGTTACTGCTTTGTATTATACAGTGGATTGCGCGTGTAACCCTCTCTCTTCTCCACGCTTCAACTGGGATAAATGAGCAATTGGTAGATTGCCTGTCAAGGACAGTGCATCACAGAAAAGAATTCCACCAGCCGTTCATTCAGTAGAATATCTTGTAGAATGGAATTCTGGACTTCTTTCCATAACTTATGCGCCAACCCTCTGCGAATGCCAAAATAAATTGGCTGCATTTTGCAAAAGCTCTATAATAGTGCTTCTCGAGTATTTATGTTAGAAAGAGAGAACATAGTTTCATGGAAGCCTGGGAAATGTCTTTCATTGTATTATGTCATCACCGTTTATATACAGTACTGTTCTTAACAAGCTAAAATTGGAGCCAATATTAGTACAGTTGCCGGTTCGCTCTGCGAAGGCAATTTCGATAAGCCCTCGTGTTTCAATTGCGTTCCGAAGCAAACCGGCTCTTCATTGTTATTGTTGTGTACGATTCTATTCATAAAAAGCTTCTGACACAATCGTATGACTCTTATTGCTGATGACATATGCGATGGTGTTACAGTACACATTTTTGGAAGTACAGCATGCTGTAGTCACTGCATGCGATGTTATTGTAGCATGGCTGAGAGTATACTGTACACTACAGTATAGCAGTATACATAGGAGTACGTATAATTAAGAATCTTAATATATGATGCGCGCATTATTCATACCTGCAAGCACGGGACGTCCAACTGAAAGGAAGAAAGATGGATTTCAACCACTCCCATCACATGACAGACTTATATAGCTGATGACCCAACATTTCCGAAGTTATTACGTTTGAATACCGCACACAGCAGCAGCAGAGTCTTTTTATGGTAAAAGTCAAAATGTCTCAATTGCAGCTAGCACCTATTACTATATACAATGTAACACTACCATAGATTTACTCAATTGCCGCGTGCACCTTTTTCTCAAAATTGAGGGAAAAATTGGCGGGCATCACAGGTGGGAGCAAGTTTTTTCAAAAAGATCTAGAAGTTTGGGCGTACATTATACTGTACTCGATTCTATTGGGAAACTTGGGGCCGATTTTGTCTGAAAACCTATTTTTATGAAAAAATTGAAAATTTGATGAATTCCGGTTCAACTTACGTCTAAATCAAAATTTGGGTGTTCTCAAGGTATTTTTAAATATTCCAGCAGTTGTTCAGATAACTAACGAAAAATGGGGTGTGCGTCTTATTATACTGTACTGTACTTGAGAATGCAATAAAAAAAATTCGACTGAAAAACATATGTGCGCATCTTCCTCAAGGATGCACGTATTGAGTAAAAACAGCACACCAAAATATTGCATATACCGTAATCGTATAGATACGTGCTACGGTGCATCTTATCCATCAGTTAATTTGTCATTCTCAACCAAAAATTTCCGAAGTTATTTTCAGCGGGTCATTTTGCTGAATAAATAATGCATTCGCATGCATACCACCCTAGATTTCAGGCTGCTGATGCCGGGCTCAGCGTTATGAATTGTGTGGGGATTATACGACGATCTCAGCGTACATAGCTGTAGGGCAAGTGTGACATCCACCGTCATATTTTCCGGGTGTTCAGAAGGAGGGAAAATAAGACGGATTGGAAAGAAAGCGCGGGAGATACCCGCGGCAAGGGAGGGACGGTGGTCCTTTCTCTCCGCACGTACTTCGTTCGGCGGCTTGCTGCCGAATATTACCCGAGCATTCTGGGTATCGGTCAGTAGTCTTGAGGGGATGGTGCTTCTCAGGTGGTGCTCAGCGTCGCGGAGGGTAACCAGTTTCTCATTCCATTGTACGATTCAAGTGAACAATTCGGGATCATTTAGCGTGATATGCCATGGGTGTTCTTGCGCCTGAAAACGTCTTACTCGGCCAGCATCCGCTTGGTATACTCATGATCGTTTCTCTTGGAGGGGGTCCTGATGAAAGATGATGGCGCTGCGTGTATTTCAACCGTGGACGATATGATCATACTTCTCTGACGCTTTGTAATCCCAGAATCTACTACTGTATTTCCTTGGTGTGTGTGATTTCCTCGCGAATTTCCCCATCATGGGATCATATATTTTGTCCGAATTTCTGGGTATTTTTTATTGACAGAGAACCTGTCCGACACAAATTTCAATTGCGGAACCCTTGCTGAACTCGGTCCATGATGGCAATGTCCCTCATCTGTTTGCCAAACCTTTGTCTTCGAAATTATTTAAATAGTATGGGGTTAAAAGGATCTTGGATTGTGGACATCTTATAGTCCTTGACTTTTTATTTTAAGCATCGTGATATTCAATTTCAGAAAATTCCTATGCACTCTTGCGGAACACAGGTCAGAGAATGAGATCCTCTGATGCAAATTGGGAATCAAAATATACTTAATTATGGCTTATACATTTCATTGCGGAAATCCCCGAATGGATTCTTCGCAGCTGCTGAGAGCTGTTCAGCTGTACAGATTATTTTTTTCTGCAGCTTAACCCATTTTTATGCAGCTTTTGAATTTTTCTGTTACAACCTGGATGTAGTTGGAGCTCCGTAAAATGATTCAATGAAGAGCAGAGGAGTTGAATGCCTGTGCGATAAGGTTCCGTTTCTAGGCGTTTGAACGGTTTTTGTCATTCGACAGCAACGTTGTTAATATGCGTAAGTGTACATCACCTGTGGACAGCCTTGCATAGAAAATATTTGAATTTTCGCCCCTCAGAACAATGAACAATCCATGCGTACGCCACCTGCGTTGCTCTTCTCTGCTACACTGGTGCTTGTGCGTGTGAATGGATGTGTCGGTCCGGTGGCGCAAGGTTCATCCTCTGCAGGTCTCAAGGTCGCAGGGTCCTTCTTCCCTTAACTTGGGAATGTTAGACGGGTAAATCATGCAATTATTGCATCTTTAAAGAAAATTGCGGTGTCAACTCTGTGGCGAATTTTTGTTGTGGTTATGTTACACTACAAATTAAGCAACGCAGAATCGACGCTGCATTCCGTTGTTTCATCCGATTTTGTTTTTTCGGCCGATCGGAAGGGCGGATTTTCATTTTTCCGAGGGGTTTCCGTTGGTTCTTGCCTCATAGCGCAGAGTTTTTCCGAGAAAACAATTTCTCTGGCGCGCGAGGAATCCCACCCGTGAACTGTGCTCCCCGAGGGCCTCGGCGTCGCCCATGTGTTTCTCTCCCTGCGGGCAAGTTCAAGGGGGCAAGGAACTAGGCTCGCGGATCTCCATTGTGCTGATGAAAAGAGAAAAGAATTGGAAATTGGGCAGCGTTAGAAAATGCGGAACAATGACTTCTTTACCGGCTGCCGGCAGTGAGTGCATCTACTGCAAATTTTCCTTAGTTGTGACTCGAAATTTTCCAGGCATTGTTAAACTGGTGAAATCTCGTTGTAATGTTCTCTTGTATAGGACCTCAAAAATTCGTTATACAGAAATATTCGTTATCCCGAGATTCACATGAAAATCGTGAATTTTTTTTTTACTATGAGATGTTTAGTCTACGGAGTTTTGGTTGGAACTTTGCGACAATTCCATTGCATTTAGAATTTGTTAGAACGGAATGTGACCGAATGCACTGCACGTGGTAGGCAATCAAAAACCAAATGAATTACAACTGCTAGGACGTATTAGCTGCTGGTTCTGGAAAGTTCAGCTGATCCCTGCGGGCATTTTAATTTAAATGGCTACACTAATTTACGAATACAGAGCTCTGGAGGACTTCCATACATTAGTCGACCACGTGCTGTCCTAATTTACTATCTATTGTTCTATTAATCCCAAACAGAACAATGCAGTGTACTGTAGCTTTGTTTATTAATTTTTTTCGAAGTTGTAGCTATCACATACTGAATTGCCGTTTTCGAAGGGCTTGTTTTAATGGGTATTCCATAATGATCAATTACCTAGCTCGGCTTATCAAGTTCAGGTAAAACCTTGCGATGGAGTTCGCGCCGTGAAAAAAAAAAAACAGAATGACCCAAATTACTCCCTTCATGACGTGAATGCATGTTTTGATAGCTACGTTACTAATTTTCATTTCTGGTAGATTCGCTTGACTCGAGTGTTTTCATGAACTCAAGTCGTTATCATAAAATTTGGACAGGGTTGGCAAACTCGGAAGTAGCGCTGATTTCGACGATAGCTTATACTGTAGTGCTACTTTTCCTTGGCTGTGACTTCTGAAAGATTCGCGCAACGGGAATTCGAAAATAACGACTTTTTTACGTGCTGACTGCAAAGATTGCGTATGCGGTACTTTCCTCATTTGTGACTACAATATTGTGAATCCAGCGCAGGGCAGGTGTTGAAATCATGACTCATGGGCGATAACCGACCTCAGCTCATGACGTTTTGATAAATTTGCAGAGTTGTAAAACGTCCTTCGAATGCTCTAAATTCTGATCGGACGACCTGTCGTAAAGCTGAAAGTTATCCGAGATATTCTCAGAGAAGAACTATTCGTGAAGCATTTTCTGGATGTAAGAGTGAAATTCGGAATCGAGCCAAATGTTTAGGCATGTTTATTTTCTTCTTATTTTCCAGGCTTTAACACAAGCTTTTGTTCTCTTCGTGAGATTCCTGATGGG